CTGTGTGCAGGATTCCAGGTGGGTCTCAGCAGAGCAGAGTAGAGGGAGAATCACCTCCTCTGACCTGCTGCCACACTCCTGTGGATACAGCCCAGGACTTGGTTGGTTTCTGGGCTGAGCTCACACTGCAGCTTATGGAGTTTTTCATCAGCTGTCAACCCCAAGTCAGTCTGATGCCTTTTCCCAGCTACATGTCTATAGAAAGCTCAGCAATGAAGTTGTCAGCAAAGTAATTTGTCAGGTATTGTGTTTGAACTGATCTCATATAAATGGGAATCCACTTTCCTGCCTTAAAAATTTCCACTGCTCTCGGTTGCTCTGGCTACTTGTCTCTTAGATATGATTAATGGCATCTGGAAAAGTGGTTGGCTTTGTAGTCCTGTTGTGAAACATGTAGTTCTGGTAGTTCAGGTTTTCTCTTGTCTGGGATAATTGAATATAATTGCATTTACCCTCTCTTCTCATAGAGCAAAAACATGATATAATTGTGCCCTTGGTTTTATGTGATTTGGAGAAATCTTGCCATTAACTCTGCATCTCTCAGAGGGAAAACATCTCCTGGGGAAGCCTGTGGTCTGTGGCCAGAGACCTTCTGCATTCCTCAGACTCCTATTGTGGCAGTTCAGAGGCTTTAAAAATCCAGTTGGGCCATTAGAAATGGGGATGCAATTTAAAGCATTTCCACTGATTTGACATCAAGAGCTGCTGCAGAAGTTAGGCAACTGCAGGAGACGAATTGGTGACTCTTTAGGTACATCATGGAGGGTTAGAGAGAGAGGAGGGTTTGCCAAACCTTAGGGTATGTGTGGGAGGAATGTTCTGTCCTGTGTGGTGTACTGTAAGCCCACAGGTTGCTGCTTTCTACCCTGAGATTCTCTGTGCTCTTAGTGCTTGTAGGGTAGAGTTCTGATTTATTTTTAGAAGGAAAATGCCTGATGGATGGACTTAGCCAATTCCCCCCAGTGTCCCTGTAGCACAGACCCTGCAGGCTCTGCACTAGGGTGTGAGGGCACTCATGGCACAGCCTCATCTGAGAGGTTTGTGTGTGCTCTAAACCTGCCCTTGTGTTTCCAAATTCTGGGTCTGAGCCAGCAGTTACTTCTCACACTTGCTGCAGTGACATGGAGTTGTCAGTGACCCAAGATCACTTGTTTGGAAGCACCTCCTAAGGATCCCTTGTGCCAAGGGGATTTTCTCCAGTTCACTTAACCATCATTTCTATCATTTTTGGGCCACTGGAGTGGTCAAAAATTTGTATTTTTTTCTACTTGAATCTGACTTAATTCCATCTAATATATAGTTTAAACAAAGATGCTGTAACTTTCAAAATACCCTTAGAGCTGTGAGTAAAGTCTGAACACCATCAACAGTTTTGTAAGTTTAAAATAACCTGTTATTTTTCTTTTCCTATCAGGACCACCTTAGCTTTTTATGTTCACTAGCTTGATTTCCACACTTGTCATTACTTTCAGTCAGTCAGGAAGTTCATGTTTGCAAGTAACAGAAGAATAAAGTCCAGAAAAGGTCATATATTACAGCTAAATGTCTGAGTGAGATGGACTTCAGCCTGTGTTCCCAGAAATATGATGCCATGTCTCTCTTAATTGTCTGATAAGAGAGTTGTAAGGAATAACTCATTTGACCCTCTGCCTCCTATAAGCAATTCTTTCTGCTTTTTCTTGCATCATATCTACCAGGTTGCCTAGTGCTGTGTCTCAGTTCTGCATGTTTTTGTGCCAAGGTGTGCCAGAGTTCCCTCCTCATCTTTGGTTGTCATTGCCTTTGGAGTCCTGTGTGTTCACTGTATGTTTTTTAGCTTAGGACTTTCAAAAAGAAAAGAGTAGATATAACACCAAGACACATGACAGTTCAGAATAAAACCATATATACACCAAACACTAAAATGATCAGCACAATGAGAGGTCCATAGGGCAGTGCACACTGCATGAGTTGGAGAGAATTTGTTCTAGAATTTAATTATGGTTTTGGCTTTTAAGTGAGGTTATATAGTTCAAATGTCTGTTTTGCTGCATGTCAGCTGACAAAGAGCAAATGAGGCAAGAAGGAGCTACTTTTTGCTCTTTCTCTTGCTCATGGGTGATGTGAAGACTCTTTGCACCTTACCAGGCAGAGTCATGTGAGCCTTGGATGAGACAGTCACCTCCTTGAGATATTAAGCTCCTCAATGCAGAAGGGAAGGGGATCAGCAAGCCAAACAACTAAGGCTGTTTGAGGCCTTCAGTCCTCCCAAAATGGTTGTGTGTCTTGCCTGTGAGATAGTTAGAAACAATGATCACTGTGAACTCTCCTCAGAGCAGGAGAGTTCCTCAGTTAACTTTTAACCTGCTGTTAAAAGGTTGGGTTTTCTCTGCAGGATCATCTGTGGAATAACTTGTGATCTCTGGGCAATCCACTGCTGGCAGACAGCTAGACCCAAGCCACAAGCTTGATGAGCTTAATGAGGTGATTTATTGAACAAGCAGAACACTGCTTCCCCAGAAGGTAGGGATTAAAGACCTGGCTGGAGCTGGCCAGGGACAGAGGAAGAACCATAAAGCCTCAGAAGTCTAAAATATCGTAGCTGCTTGTGCCTTTTGGAAGTCAGTGGCTGCCCTGGATCCTGAGATGCCTCTGAGTAGTGTGAGTCCCAAACTGTGCTGAGACCTTGGCACTGAGAGGCCTGGAGAGCTGATGCAGCACATCACACTTCATAGATTGAAGGTGCTGAGCTTGCTGTCATGAGTTTTAAAGACTCCTGTTAGGCTCCAGAAGTAATTCATTCCTGTGCAGCACACAGAAGAATGTCCAGGCTGGCAGTCCAGGCTTGCCTGCAATGTTTGTGTTCAGGGAAGGCTAGTTTAATGTTAACTGAATCTAGTTACTTGCAGACCTTGCTGAAAAATGCAGCAGTGCCCGAGATTCCCTGCAGGAAATGTTTATCAGGAGGCAGACAATGTTGCCATGTTGGTCTGTGGACTCGGACCATGATTTGTTGTCTGTTTGCTTTCCAGAGGTCTAACATTAGTGCTGCCATGGCTCAGTCC